AAAGTTTCGTGAAGAAAAAACGTTCCTGTAGTGTTTTATTTAGCATTTTGTAAATCCCATTGAGTTCTGTAGGAATAGTCAATATTCCGCTGCCACCGGAAACGGAAATGGGGCCTCTTTACACTTAGTTGTAGTCTTTTCGCTTCACTCTGTGTACTCCGACGTCGAGAATCAAGAATCCACCTTTCGTATTCCATTTTCAGAGTTTTTTAAAGTGTTTAACAGAGACGTTAGCACCTCGACGTCGGAGTACACAGAGTGAAGCGAAAAGACTACAACTGTGTAAACAGGCCCCATTTCCGTTTCCGGTGGCAGGGGAATATTGACTATTCCAACAGAACTCAATGGGATTTACAAAATGCTAAATAAAACAAGACAGGAACGGTTTTTCTTCACGAAACTTTTTTTGGAACGTCATTGAACAGCGCTGACGACCCGGTGAGTAGCATATTTTAAAAAAAGAACGTTTAAGGTTGTTTTAAGGACATTATCGGACATGCTCTATGCTAGCCATTCTAAAGCAGCCAGGGGGTGATTCTAAATGAGCCAAAAAGCAGAGACAGGAGCAATTGTCAAACTTTTGGTGTCGATCATTCGATTTCATCCTGGACACTACAGAAAATGGGCTTAAAGTGTAAAAAACCGAACTTCTCCTTTAAATCATTGGCACACATTAAACATAGAACATATTTAAGGAGGTTGCAGAAATGACCAAAATTGGGTTAAGAACTGTCAACGGCATTAATAACAACTGGAAGGATAGTGGAGACGAGGAGGGGATCCTGAATGATGGCCATTTAAATGCTTAGTGAAATCAAATTGGGAAAAAAATTAATAGAAAAAATAACGGAAGAACTTCTGCGGATTAAATCGGGCCATTTTGTAGATAGCCAAACATTTTCTAAATATTTCAAGGTCAAACTGTGACACTAAACTCTCACAGGCTTCTTTTTTGCCTTAAATATTTCTCTGATGCTCTAAAAGGCTGCAGCTACCACTCTAGAACCAGTAGATCCCGTTATCCCACAACATAGGTCAGAACATAATAAAGATGATCTTTTTCCCCACACCCTGTGGGAAAAAATGACTCCATTCAAAAACAAAATAACATCTGCTAGGTGTAAGAAAAGGGAGGGAACTATGCCAGCAGCATAAATGACACATTTAAAATTTTATTACACCAGCTTTTTTTTTTTCTTACTAGTTATTGTTGCATGGTAGGTGTCTTCACCTTTCATATCTTTGTTTGCCAATGTATGCTCACTCTGCCTTACTTTAGTTCTCTAAATCCATCAGTTTTTTACACCCCCCCTTTTATTTTTATTAAGCTAAAACTTGTGGATCTAAACCTACTTTAAGGCAGAGCAAAAATTACCAGAGTGATATTAAAACTACATGACATAAAAGAGCAGAGACCAACATAAAATGAATTTGGGGGGAAAATAATCGGCTGTGTGCAAAACTATAAGTGGCGCACTGACCTACTTTAACTCTCCGATGGATTTCAAAATAAAGTGCAGGAAAATAGGAGACACTCTGATAGCATTAACCTCATGATTATTATCCAACTCTCAAAACTTGTGTTTTTATTTTTAATTTCTCTGATTTGAAATGTTTTTAAAACACAAGAATAATGGTGCTTGGTAAACACTGGTTAATGAATGAGATATACAAAGCCTTTACTCAACTATATTTTTTGTGACTTTTTTTTAAAGCTATTTTGATAAGTGAGTGCCTGATATTATTTAATAAGTTGTTGCAGTCATAAAATTCAAGTAACAGCCTATAAATAAAAAAACAAACAAACCCCACTGCAGTCCTTTGTTTAGCCACGTTGCTGTTGGAGGCTAAAAACAGGTTATGGTGGAGAGAAGCTGAGAATTAGAGCAGAAAAACAGCTCCCTACCCTGTTATGATAATCACTAAAGAAAATATTATGTAGAGCCAACGGAAAGGCAGAAACCATACAGGGCTGCTGCATACATTAGCATTGACCAGATACATTTTGCACTGCAAAAAATAGTTTGGTATAGGCCAGGTCCTTGTTTAATTCTGGCATAGAATGGATTATCTGTGGGCTGGTAGCAAAATGTGTTATTTTTAAATTTATAGGCAAGTAGAAACACAAAATTATAAACATAATGAACCACAATAAAATAATAATAGTTATAATAATATGACTAAATCAAAGCTGCATGGTTTAATCCTTGTTTTCCTAAAGTGTTAGCTAGTTAACAAGTTTTACATTAAGAATGTCTGAAGGAGGACTGAATGCTATGGAGGGACAAAACTGACGGAATTAAAAAATTAAAGCACAAATAGATAAATTACCCAATAAGAAAACCCATACATAAAAATATCACTGCCACTTTGTCAAATTCTAATATCACTAAAGATCAATTAGTATAAAGATCAATTTAAAAAAAAGGTATTTTCTACTGATCTTACAGCAGCAAAGAACTAATATTAGTATCAACATGTTGCACAACTGCACAGTCATGTAATGAAGGTAAAAAGGAAAAAAACGCAACATATATATTTAGAAAATGTTTAAATACGAGTGAGCAACTTAGTAGAAATGTTTTTGCATTGGTCTTTATGTCTGTTTTGATCCTGCAGAGAGTCTAGGAACCAAACCAGTTTTGAACTAATCTAGCCTCAAAAAGATCTGCAGTATTGAAATGGTATTGCAATAAGTAACAAAAAACTTCCCCATCTACTGTGCATATTTCTAGCTTGTCTATTTCTATCATGTTAGCAATGTTCTGCATAGTGCCTCCCACATTTCTATCATCATATCCTCACCTTCCATGCACAGCAGAGAAGTTGATGCGTCTCTGCCACGCAGCAGGGCTAAATGGGCACTATTTAGGCAAGAACTTAAGGAGTTTATCGAGTGTTCGTACTAACAAACAGAATCACTTGAAATACATTCTGCATCCTTTACAGAGTAAATAATCCCAGAATGGATTCTCAATTGATCCATATTTCCCCTCTAGCATGTCTTCGGAAGCGGAGCCCTCTACTGGACGCCGGGAACACTGCACCAACGAAAGATTTCCCTTCTCAATGGATGTTATCAGTTAGTCTAAGGAACACATTTTTAAATAAGAACCCATTAATGAACAATAAATTGTGAGTCGATATTTTTTTTTTATAACATCCCTAACACAAACGTTAGAGATGCACCAATCCAACACTGGAATCGGATTTCAGTGATTTGATATCTGATATCAGATCCAATCCAGTGCACTTTACATTGAACGGTTATTTCTTTCTTTTTGCTCCATATTCATATCTGTGTTATTTTGTTATGTTAGGATAATTATCTCTGATGATGTGTGACTTTATTAATAATAGGGTTGAAATAAACATTAACAATGTTTATGTCAAGGCTAAAGCCTTCACACATATGGCAGGATATATGGTTGATCCATTCAACAGTTGAAATTACCATTACAGAGCGAGCAGCTTTATGCAACCAGGTTTAGGTGTGAATAGTTATCAAACACAACATTTACTAGCTGTGGCATCTTTAAAAAAATAAATGTCTTTGTCCTCTGAATTTCTAGAATATTTATGCCACATCAAAGAGGATTTGATTTGGACTGATTTCTTTCACAACTTTGAAATATTGCTGTAAAAAGATTTGTGAAGAAAACCAGGTCCACACCACTTCAGAACACAATTAATGTTTACTTAAAGGTATAGAGGACAATCTTAGTTCTGGGTGGATCATCTAAATAAGTGGTCCTCCTAATTGTCAATCATTCTGGTGATATGTTTACATTTAGCCGTCCTGTGTTCGTCCTGTTAGCTATATTTTTCTGCGCACTTTCAGGTGTTTGTGTGGTGACCTATGGTTCCAGACAGTCAATGAAGCTCACCTTTCTCACCGAGGTTCTTATGGCCGAGGGCCGTAAGAGAAAAAAACAGTGTCTACAAAGTGTATAAGAAAAGAAAGGCCTCAGAAGAGGTAGATATATCCCATAATGCTTTGCGCAGAGAGCTCTCCTCTCAAAGCATAATGGGATTTGCTGACGCCCGACAGCAGCGACTAATAACAAAGATGGCGCAGGCACCGCGCGGTGGAGGAGGAGTTACGTGACCAACGCGGAGCAAAAAGCAGTGATCATCTGTCCTAACGGTCAGTTAACCGAGTTCGCTATAAAGTCCACTATATAGTCCCCGCTCTATATAGTGATTGAGGGATTTAGGGGAAACATTCAGACACAGTAGGCTTGTGTGATCTATGAGAACAGCAACTTTTAAACAGCTTGCACTAAGAGAAATTGTCTCATGCATGCTCTCACACGCGTTTGATGGGCGTTCCCTCTCGAGAGTGGGTACAGGGATGTGCATGTGCAGTTTTTTGTGTGGAGAGGGCAGGTCTTTAAAAAAATAAAAATCACGAAAATCCTCCACTAAATCTTTAAACAAATTGAAAACTTCTGAAAAGACCTAAAGATAGGTGTCATTTTGCTGCCAATCCAAAGTGACAGTGTTTGAGATTATCAGGAAGGAAGATTGGGAGAAAATAAACTACAACAGATTTGCAAGCCTTATGCAGGACTAAGAGCTGAGGTTCTGATTTGCGTTTCAAAAAATAAAAATATGATGAAAGCATGGGTGTGAATACTTAAAGAGCAAAACTATTGCAGGTTTTTTCTTGATGAGCATTTGAAAGTTTCCCTCAGGTTATAGGACCCACCCCTTAATCTGTGCAGACCTGCACAGAGACTACAGATTGGAGTTGGCCAGTGGTTAAATCTAAAATAATCCCACCTTTCCTTTATACTGTGCAATATATATACGGTCAAATGCATGCACAATGACAGAAACTAGAGTTAAAACCAGGTAATCTATAGTAATGGGTCCTTGTTTGATTTTGCAGTGATAAATAAGGAAAGCAGATGTGAACAGAACCAGCAGTGGAGTTTATCCCAGGTTAGCCGGAGGCTAAAGCTAACTCTTAACATATATCAACATTGTTGGCATACCACTTTTGTCATTTTCCTTCTTGCGGGCTTTCGCCCCCTCCTCGTTGTCCTCAGTCTCTGACCAGACGAAAGCCTGCTCCCGGCTGTCGAGGGCCTCGGCCATTTTTTCGGCCGCTGCTCGGTCTTCTGATGAGACGCATGTCGTTTTGTCTGCTGCTCCAGCACCGGATTCGACACTAACCTCCCCAGAATGGCTGGCAGCACCGCCGCCTTCACCGTTACTGCCAACATCCTCGGCTGCGGGCTCACCATCGGGGGAGCACCTGGTTTGGTCACCAGCCGCATCCTCCGTCTGGTTGGGGCTGCATCCAGACTCCGCCGCCACGGCCTCCTCCCCAGATGTTTCCACCTCCTCTGTGGGGTTTTTCTGTCGATTCGGAGACTTCGATGGGTCTACGGCGGCCATGTTTCACCCATGCACCCCCTTGTCCGACCGAAGCACACAAGGATCATGAAGCCAGGAATTACATTTCCGGTCCGACCCTTCAAAATAAAACCACCGTTACTGACAAACAGACGTTCTTCATTATTTAAGAAAGCACGTTTGAAGCTTTAAATTACACATTTCCAGTTTACAAATGTTGTGATTTTGTTGTTCTACGCAGTACTCTTAAAACTTTATTATAAATAGACATAACTTTGCAACTTAAAGTGCAAGCATAAAACTACATAAGATGATTAGGGCCAGTAAAAAAAGGTAACAGATTTTTTTTATTTTGAGAAAAAGGTAATAATTCTGAGATTAAAGATATAATTCTGAGAAAAAAGTCATAATTCTGACATTAAAGTCAGAATTCTGAGATTAAAGTCATAATTCTGCGAAAAAAGTCATAATTCTAAGAAAAAAAGTCAAAATTCTGAAATTAAAGTCAGTATTCTGAGAAAAGAAAGTCATAATTCTGAGATTAAAGTCATAATTCTGAGAAAAAGGTAATAATTCTGAGATTAAAGATATAATTCTGAGAAAAAAGTCATAATTCTGACATTAAAGTCAGAATTCTGAGATTAAAGTCATAATTCTGCGAAAAAAGTCATAATTCTAAGAAAAAAAGTCAAAATTCTGAAATTAAAGTCAGTATTCTGAGAAAAGAAAGTCATAATTCTGAGATTAAAGTCATAATTCTGAGAAGAAGTCATAATTCTGAGATTAAAATCAGAATTCTGAGATTTAAGTCAGAATTCTAAGATTAAGGTCAGAATTCTGAGGAAAAAGTCAGAGTTCTGAGAAAAAAAGTCAGAATTCTGAGATTAAGGTCAGAATTCTGAGGAAAAAGTCAGAGTTCTGAGAAAAAAAGAAAGAATTCTGAGATAAAAATCAGATTTCTAAGAAAAACTTCAGAATTTTGAGATAAAGTCAGAATTGTGACTTTCTTCCCATATTAAACTGAAATCATATTTAAAAATCGGTTAACCTTTTTTATTTCTTCACTGTCTCTGATCCTCTTCCGTATAAAACAGGTCTATGGAGAGGAAGAAAAAAAACTATTAATAGATATAAGCAGTGTATATAAATTAGTTTGAAGTTAAATTATATATCCCCAATGAATTGCTATGGTATAGTTTAACTAACAAGCAATTGTTTTGATATTGTTAAATAATTTTTTTTAGAGTTTATCAAATAATATCCATTGCATTGGAATTTCTATGGTGTAACAAATCAACAAGAGATGCATGTGTTGGTTTTTTGCAGCCCATAGTTATATTTTATTAAGTTTAGTTACATTTCATTTGACAGTATCTATCTACAAAATATAACTTGTGCAAAACTACATAGATGATAGCCATATAATGCTTTCCTGGTACTATTTACAAACACATCCATGATACTGCATGCAAGATTATCAATAGCTGCTAGATACTAAGGAATGCTTCAAAAGTCCATCATAAACACAAGCTGATATCGGGATCAATTTGTAATGATTACACTTGTTCGTTGTTTTTTTTTAAATATATATATATATATATTCTTTTTTAAAAACTCTTTAAAATAGAACAATTTTGTCTCAAAATGCACTCAGAGCATTGCTTAATGTTCAACCAAAGCTTAAGTGAAATATAATGTCACTATTAAAACAGGACAAGCATGTGGTGACTAGACATGGGCCGGTTACCAGTCTGCTCATTTGGTTTAAAGTAATAAAAAAAAAACATAAAATAAAAACGCAAATGAAAATAAGATGGAAGAACAAGTAAGAGACTGTGATGCAGGGCTGCTTTTGGCACTGCAGCATCCGAGTACTCAGTACACCTGTTAAGAAATATCTTGTTTCCTATGAAAAATAAATAAGTACATATATTTAGATTTTGTTTAGAAAAAAAACAAAACACAATGCAATAAGATTTTTCTAATAAAAATAATCTGGGTTTAGATGACCCAGTTGGGGATGAAAGCCCCTTTGTGTGTCTTAAGCTGCAGCTCAGAGAGTTTAAAGGAAGATCTTTAAAGTTGTCCTCTTTAAAAGAAAGAGATTTGCTTTGTTCGACGATATTAATGGTCATAAAAAAAAGAAGACAACCATCTTTTACTCTCCTTAAAGAACCTGCTATAAAACAAATTGAGACCTGATTATCATTCAAACATTTGCATTATGTCTCATTTTAAGTTTCCATGCTGATACTGTGAAACTTGTAAACATGGAATTTTGCTCAAAGAGAAACCTCATACCGGCCCATGCCTAGGGAGACCCAATCTCACAATAAGATCTGCCACAGATCCTTCTGTGATTTTTCTTTATTTTTTTTATTTCCCTTCCCTTTTTTCTAACCAGTGAGGGGACAGAACACGCCCCTGGTAAAAAAAAAAAAAAGCACAAGCATACATTAGAGGGTACTTAGAACAGCTGCAAAAGTACAATTTATGGAAACAAGTGCAAATCACAAGTACTTTATGATGATGTAGTTAGTCAGGAAAACTAAGACGGATTGAACCCGAAAGAATCAATGAGCTTTGCTGAGGAACATGCGCTCTGAGCATGAGAGGCTATGGTTCGCATTTTTCCCTCTCACTTCGCTTTTTTCAAAAGTCTTAGACCTGCTTTATCCACACGTTTGTGTGGAGCCACGGTTCTGTTAAGGCCACCCTATTATTTAGAGTCCACTTCACCAAACTGCTTCAGTCCTTTCAGAAAAAAACAAAACACACCAAAGTACACTATGGAGTGAGATTTGAAACAGGATATAACTATTAGTTATTACAGAAGTACCGCAAGTAAAAAGAGCATCACATCTTCAAACATCAACAGTTTTTAAATACATTCTCAGCGCCGTCTCTTGCGCCTATGTTCCAGAGGTCTCCCCCTCCGTGGCCTGTGCAGATTTCCACTCCTATCTACAGCTGGATCGGGGGGGAAAGTGTGGTGTATTTCTGGGGATGACGGTGACGAAGCCACCGCTACAGCTGGCAGGTTATTAGAGTGCTGGCTGACCTGCGGTTGCTGCTGTAGGTGCGTTTGATGTTGTTCTATGTGCTGTAGCTGCTGAGGCTGTAAGTGCTGCTGCTGCTGCTGAGGCGTTTGTGAGGGGTGTGCTGGTTGCACCCGATGCTGCTGGGGCTGGGGTTGCTGCTGGGCTTCCAGCACTCCCAGAAGCCTTTGCAAGAGGACATTGTTTTGCTGCAGACTGACTGCTAGTGCTTCTTGTGATGCGACAAGGGTTCTCATGTCCTGTCTGAAGCTTTCGCCAAACTCCTGCAGGCTCTTCTCCACCCGATCCCCCAGTTGAATCGCCGCCTCTCCCAAACCTCGGAGCTCATCTTCAAGCCAGGAGCTGCGAGGGGGGGCCTCAAGAGGACCCTGCTGTGTTCCAAGTGACGGCTGGGGGCTGCTGGGCTGGGGGCTTCCGTTCAGGAAAGGAGCGCTGTAGAGAGGAGAAGGAGGCAGCCATCTTTCTGACGTGGGTGGGGGTCCTATTCCCAGACCCAGCCCCAATCCCAGTTTATCATCTATACTGTTTTCCACTGGGTCACAGTCAGGATCTCCCATGTCTTTCTCACGCTCAGGAATCTCCTCTTCTTTCTCCAAACCATCTCTCTCTGAGCCATCCATTCCTACACCTGCACAACGAGACCAAACACTACTGCAAATTTTGCAAAAAAACGATAAACTGAGAAAGACAAACAGACATCTGTTTCTTACCTGGGTCAGAGTCTGGAAAGCAGGGGAAAATGGGCTTTGGTCTGATGCTTTGCTTCTGCCTCTGCTGTTGGAGCCTTGGACTAGACTGAGAGGAGCGCCCCAGCATGGAGGCCCCTCTGCTGGAGGGCAGGTAGCAGCTGCGATGGCGGGCGTCTGCAAGCCTGCCTCCGTTGCGCCTCTTTAGGTCGTCCCAGCGCTTCTTCACCTCTCGAAGGGTACGGGGTACTCTGGACACGGCGTTGACCCTCTCCAGGATCCCCGCCCAGATGCGCTCTCTCTCCCGCCTTCTGAGTCTTCCAGCGGGTCCAAAGAGCTCCCCTTCACACCGGGTGACTTCTGACACCAGAACCTCCAGCTCTGCCCCACTGAAACGACTCTTCCTTTTACCTGCTCCTCCAGCAGCCAGCGCAGCTGACATGGCTCTGTCTTTGGAGAAAAGGTAAACAAAAAATAAATAAAAGCTTGTGGAAGGGTGCCCGATTATTCTAAAGGCATTTCCATCAGACTAAAGAAAGAAAATAAAAACATTCGACTGGACTTTGTTTCCAACTTTAAAGACGTTTCGCTTCCCATCCAAGAAGCTTTTTTATTCAAATGTCAGGAATAGCACCCAGTTGGACCTCTTCTGTGTTGGGCCACCCATCTGTGGAGAGGTTGTTTGGTTTCTCCAATATAAAGATCATAGCATTCCTCACTACATTACTGAAGAGCGACCTCCTAGGGACAAGACTCAGCTGTCCACCTACACCTTTTGGACAAAGGACATTCCTTTGATGACCAGAATGTTCACATTTTGAAAAAAGAAAATAAGTGGCTTGAGAGGGGCGTGAAGAAAGCCATGTCTATGTTAAGAAAGAAAAAACAACCTTAAACAGAGGGGGTGGACTCAGATTTCAGCTTTCAAAGACCTACAATGGAGCAATTGAGTTGATTCCTTCCCACTATCATTGCAGCCCCAGCCCCTGGCCTGTACAGGAGAATGGAGGACCTCGCCTATTCAACGAGGCCAACAATTCCCTTTAACAACTCCCCCTTTCAGAGACTTAGATGGGTATGGTGTATTGCAGTCTAACAAAAGAAGCAAACGACCCCCCATCCAAAGGGGTGGACCCCTCCGTCCGTTTCAATTTGCATGTTTTCAAAACAAAATCAAGGCTTTGTTGGGCTACTGTATAAAACCTCGAACTAAACGCTATTTCTGACATTTGAATTGAAAAAGGATGGGAAACTTCTTCAAACTGGGAAACGACGTCCAGTGGATTGTTATAATTTTTCTTTTTTTGTAATGACTATGACCTGGATTACTGAGAATTTTCACCAGCATTTCTATCAGACATTAAAGAAACATGTGAACTAAAAAAAAATATTTTGTTATTCTTGGTCCTCCCAATTGTTATAGGACAAAGAAAGTTATATATATATTTTACTGAAGTTAATACCTGATGTAAACTGTATATAATAGCTTTATAAAAAGGCTGCTTGTATTTTAATGGTTTTACCGGTATTTTACCGGTAATCCCACCACAAAATAACAAATATAAAAATTTAGTTTGAGCTATAAGATTTTTTTTTAAGCACTAAACTGCATATGCAATAAATGGGAATGTTGCAGGGGACCTAGAAGATGTGCAAACCCGTTCAGATTTAAAGTAGTAAAATGTGTGTTTTAATGGGAGAGGCTGTAAAAGAAGATGAGGTTCTGCCATGGATATGCAGGTAATGATGGTAATGATTAGCAAAAAAAAAAAAAAAGAATGATCACAATAAGGATAATGATGAATATTATGTCCTTTACAATGATGTGAATCTCAATGTGCCACGAAAGATGAAAATAATGAAACCTTTTATTAAGAAGCACGGCTCAGGACACTTAAAACAATAAAAAATTGATAAACTTGGAAAAAGATAAATTCCCTCCTTTGGCTCCCATTGGACGGATATGTCTTAAAGGAGCCACGGTCAGACTTAAAATGTCTAAACAGCTGGATTTACTTCCTCTTATTTGAAATATTATAAATTAAGCGCAATCATTTAAAAAAAAAGCATATTGGTGATTCATAAAGAGCCTTGAAGGAACTTTAAGGGAGAAAAATAATCTCTCTTTACAGAAGATGGAGAAGCTGTTTTACTGGTTGCCAAAAATGTCAATACCACAAAAAGCATCAATACGCAGACGCTGTAGCCGGATAAAATGCTAATATGGTATGAATGCTAAAGACAAGTGTTGTTTGCATATTTTTGTTATTAGTAATTTTAGATTTCTAAATTATTTTTTCGTTATAATAATAATATTACAACTTCCAAATGTTGTAAAACATTTTTTTATACGTATTTTCTTTGCGCACATGTCAACTGTGATCTGTGATTCTGCTGATAATGCATGGTCAATTTTAAGATTGAAAAAGGTGAGTTTTCATGTTATAAATACTTCTCTGTGATGGTTGTTCTCACAAGGTTTAGTTAAATGCAGGAAATACTGTTTGTTTCCAATTGCATTTATTTGTACAAGCCTGCACAGATGTATTCTACTATCGTCCATATCATTATGTCCATATGTTCTCAGAATGTACCAATTTCCTCCTTTTTGGCCTGAAGGATGCAGAATAGTTAATATGAAGTTTGCAGCTTACTTTAAGGCGTACTAAATATAGACACTAAAACTGTGTATGCAATAATTTTCAGGTTTGATAAATAACTTTTCAAGGAGTAAGTTTTTACATCTGCATATCTACATCATGGTATTTTGCTTAGTTGGGATATGAAGATATGATCCACACATTCACAAAAAGAAAAGGTTTTTCGTGACTGTTCCCCTCATTTTACACAAGCAGTATGATTTGCTCCTGGTTGGTAGGTCAGCTTTGTACTTGCTATTTAGTTAACATTTGTTTTTATTCATGTAAACAATTTAAAGATCCCCTAATCCTTTCTTAGCATCATTATCACCTTAAATATTATAATTTGAACAATTTGGCCTTTAAGTCATAATTCCCTAGTCAGCCAATTCCAATACACCATCTTAAATTTAAGCTTTAAATAAATTGTTTTACTTAATCTTGTTCCTGTTATTAAAAATTCATGTGATTCATATAATGAAAAACTGTTCAGAGGAAAAACAGAATCAACCGATTGGTTGTGGTGAAATTGTATATATATATAATTATATATAATTTGTTGTAACCTAACATAAGCAAACCTGAGTGATTTGTAGGTTAGTGTAGAAGCACCAGTCTGAAAACTTTAGGATTTAAAGACATTCCTGCATTGTTCAGCTACATAAAATTTAATTGGATTTAAAAAATCCACTTGCTTCTTGCACATATTTTTTGAAAGAAAAAAAAAGAAAAGCTCTACCTTAAATAAGATGAAGCGTTTTTTCCCTCAATACCTATTTTCTTCAAAAACAAGGATTTCTGAATCGTGTAGAAGCAATTAACTACACCCTGCTTTATTGCACTCAAAGGACAACATAGGAATGTAGGAGCGAATTAATTAACTAGAAGTCACCTAATTAACTAACAGTTTACATTTGAGTAATTCAACGTTAGCGTAGACACCGTTTTCTTAGGTCATTATTGGATTTATCAGGGAAGCGTTAAGGAAGCAGAGATCCACAACTCAGGTGGGAGAACCTGTTGTCAGGACAACTAGTTACACACACCTCAAATCTGAACTTTCTAGGAAGGTATTTTCAAAGAAAAGATTCACAAAGATTGACATTTGGAGTTCAACACATGCCATGTAGCGTTTGCAGCAAATGTATGGAAGATTATTATGTCAAGTAGCAAATAAGTAATACCAAGTATCCAGGTTAACATATCCCCCCGATGAAACATGATGATGGCGGCATCATGATGTTGGAAAGCTTGTTTTTTTTTCAGTAGCAACAGGAAAGCTGCTCAGAGTTAAGGATGGTTTATACTTGGAAACTAGGTCGTCTGTGTAGGTGTCGCAGTGAACGCAGAGACGTCTCCGCCCCCTCCACAGACACTCTGCTGCACCTCTCCCAAATTATAGGTGACCGCAGACAGGAGGCCTCTGATTGGTCAAATCTACTCATGCGTATTTCCTGTTTGGTACCTTATTGGCTTGTTTTTTTTTGTATGACCGCTAGAAGAGCGAGGTGCGCGAAAACGGTGCAACCCCCCCCTATGTCCCTACGCTGTTGGACAAACACACCCCCACTTCGCCGCCTCGGCCATATCTACACCCACGGCTACTTCATGATTGTCCCCCTTGCGTTGTGGCGTGGAATAACAGAGTACAGACCACGCTTCAATATTGAGCATAAATCAGAAATGTCTGCATCATACCTGCGACACACTGCTGCGGGAGTATAACCAGCCCTGTACAAGGAAGATAAGTATGCAAGAGGAAAAAACAGACTCACAGGAAGGCCCACCTTTTAACGCTGGTACAATGAGAACCAGAAAAGGCTTTACTACCAATAGGAATTAGCTGCTCTCAGCCAGCGGTCAAACCTGAATTCAATTCAGAATATATAGAAAGAGTTCAAAATTTATATTTTTCTATAGTGTTTTTTTTTTTTCAGAAGCACTGCATACCAAAGTAATTCCACATTTTTAATTTTCTCTTTTAAGATGTCAGAGCCACAGGTGAAAGGCTCAAGGGCTCCTGATATGAACTACTTTAAAAGAAAGAAGCAATATCAGGGCCCTTATGCTACATTCACACCTAATGCGCCATGAGCAGCAAAAGCAGCACATTTACATGCAAAGTCAATGGCTGACGTGCATCAAGGCGCATCAAAAGGTCCTGCAGCGCATCTAGATCAACAGCAGCGCATCTTGACACATCTGAGCAGCTGAATCAGTGCCTCGTGAGCCTCTGATGCACGTGAAGCGTTTCAAAAGCAGCAGCTGCTGGAGATGGAAAAATTGAGCTTTCTGTGCTTGACGAGCCACATAAACCAATCAGAGAAGCCGATCTGGGAGCTGGCAGGGAGACAGACAGAGCACTGCTGTTGCAAAGCACTTTGATCACTCACTGTAAACAGTTTATTAACGCCTAAATTAACTTAAAATGTTGAAACCTGCCTGCAAAATATGTTCACTTTTATTATTCTGGTGCCTGCAGTTTGTACCACATACCTGAAAAACACTAACATCTATTCCCAACCTCATCGAACAGTAGAGGAAAACCCCAAGAGGCGACACAGTCTGAGGCAGCTGTTGGGATTCCCAGTGCCCCCGCCAGTATGTGGGGATCTGAGCGCCTCCAACAGCAAAATAACATTTTAAGGCAGGATAGTAATCTTGATGAACGGACTGCAAAGATGATGTTTTGAAGTGGACTTGCATATATTAAAACTACTTTTATATAGCAAAGCTGCTCTGCCATTGAACACAGGAGCCACACAAGCATCAGACGCATCTGTACACACTTTACTGGACGTGCCTCAGGAGCATCAAAGATGCTCTTGAGGCGTGTCTGAGCTTTATGTGTACAAGCATCAAAAATTAAGCAGCAGGCTCTTCTTTGCTGCTGAAATCGCGTGCGGTGTGAATGTAGGATTATAAATTTCAAGAAAATAGCCTTAGATTTTCCATCCCAAATAGCCATCATTCTTCCACACTTACTTTGTTCAATGGACAAGAGGTCGTCTGAGGACATGCCGGGCGCCATGATGTTGGGATGCACCACTACCACGTTGAAGGGAAGTCCTCCAGGTAAGGCGCTGGTCTGGTCACAGCTGTTCTCCGAGTCTTCATCCTCCCTGGGGAAGCCGTTCTCTGAGGCCGCCCCTCCAAAGGCTCCCTCCGGGGACTCCACTTTGATGTGCATGGGAGGTGATTGCTCGTACAGCAGCCCCCCCTCCTCGTAGTACTCAGTCATGGATCAGACCTGGTTTAGAGCAGAACTGCCTGGTGGGCCAATTCTGGTACTGGCAGCCCCCTCCCCATGAACTTCAGATCAAAGTTTCATATAAACCCTGCATTCTAACATGGCTGGGGTTGAACAGACACTCCAAAAGGATTTTCTTTTTTCCTTTTAGGAAATACAATATGTTATAATCTTAAAATACTATTTTACACAGAATGCCATAAAAACTCTAAAGTCATAAAAGTAAAAATAAAATAAGCATGTTCTCTGATTATACGTTTCTAGACACCTTGATGTCTATCTCTGGCAGCTTGAATACATGTCAACTATTTTGATTTGCACTGCTGTGTTCCTAGAACCACATAGAGCATGGATAAAGGTGCTACAGAAAGCCCTTTATCTGCCTGACACCCAGCAGCATCCTCCAGGTGGAGACTCTCCTCCAGATCTGAAACACAAAACAAAACAACAACACTTACACCTGTGCTGAATGCTCACAACACCTCCGATTGCTTCCCGGAACGGCATTTCTCCTGTTCCGTGTCGCATCGCTGCGCATATCTATCTGCACATCATCCGCAATGGTTGCGCATTCCGCATACATTAAGAGCTGATGTTGGAATGGAGCTAGCAGTTAGCCTGAGCTGCGGGTTAAAACGGTCGCTTCCTGCCGGCTGTCCGCTTCAAGATGAGCTAAAACGATTCAAGAGAGGACAATATAAGGCGTCCTACCTGAAAATGAGTCCACATGGGATGTAGAAGCAAACAACAACAAAGGAAAAGCTTCAGTTAGCAGCCGATACACAAACCCGGAGACAGTCGCTTAATGTATACGTCATCGGTAGGCGGCGCTCGGGAAGAGAAGCTACAGCCCATAGATATCTATGCTACAGCCGACCTGCCCAAACATGGCTGCTATGTCAAAGCTGCTTTAGAAAGTATTCAGGGAGAAGGAAAAGATAGAAAAGATCTACTATTAGAAATCCAGCACAGTCTATTTAGATTATATAGGGGTGGCATTGATATTTGGCTATGTTGGGTTCCAGCACATGAAGGTGTAAAAGGCAACGAAGAGGCAGATATAGTGGCAAAAATGGCTTTAAAGCCAAGGGAACAATAACCATTACAATTAATTTTGGGAAAGGGGAAAGTAAATGACTTATTAAGAGTAAAGAAATGGAAAAATGGCAAAAGAGGTGGAATGAAAATAAGACAGGAAGAGGATTATATAAGGTAGCAAAATTAAATGAAATTAAATAGAATCATTAATGAGAGAAACAGAAGGGAAGAAGAAATAATGATACCTATTTAAATGAAAATTTACATTTAATAGGGAGGGAAAATAATGATAAATGTGAGGGATGTGAAGAAAGAAGTAGAACATCCCTGCTGAAAAATAAATGTGCTAAGTGTACTAAAATTTTGCATACTTTTGTGTACTTGAAGGCACACTAATCATTACTATACTTTAAGTGTGTTTATGATTAGTTAACTTGAAGGATGCTATTTTGGAACAACTAATTTTGTACTAAATATATTTTAATTGTAATTAAATTGTGGACAAGCTCAACTTGAAGTGTATTTAGTGTACTTTGATGTGCTAAAGTGGAACAACTTAAAGTATATTTTGTATACTTTAAGTATATGAGTTTATATGTACTAATATATGCTTAATTAGTCAAATTAAAGTGCACTATGGTTGTATTATAACTACATTAAAAATGATTTGTTAGTGTCTTAAAAATATATAAGCTTTATACTTTTAATATACTCTTACTGTGGTAATAATATGCTTAATTATACTGTTGGCTTATTCCAATTACTAAAAAAGCATACTTTGCAGTTAATAGTAAATATACTTTATCATTACATTGCTATACTACTTTCTACCTTGCACATTCTTGCAAATGTATTACCGGTAACAGTATACTAAATGCTGAAAGACTTGTGGATATACTTCCGTGCAGATGAAAAAATATACTTTAATGTATTTGAAACATGTCCAAATTATAGTACATTACAAATAATATAACTTGTACTATCTCAGAATGTATAAACATTTACATATCGACGTTAACCATTTTCATTATAAAACTTACAACACATTTTCAAATATTGGTACTTTAGTACACTTTGTAGAAATATGTCAATTTCAGGCAGCAGACCTAAACATTACAAATAAACTTTAAAGAACGCAGAGGAATACTGAACAATGAAAAACAACATTCCTTATTATTGCACCCCTAAACCCTCCCACCATACAAAAACACGCCCACCACACATTATTTTCCTTTTTTTGGCTGAACTGCTCATTGTTACATTTTCGTCTGATGGCCGTGCGCACATCAGAGACACTTGTCTACGGAAACTCCAGAAGAACAGCGTCTGTTAACCAAACAGAGAGATACTGTAAATTCATAGTATTTTTGAGCAGTACATCAGAAAAGTCTGACAAATTGTATCAGTATGATATACCAGGGTCCATAAGTGCACCAGAAAAAAAAATTGTCCATTTCAGTTGAATTTAAATAAATCTGATGCATCAAGTGGTTTTATCAGATCTGATCAAAAAAATTAAACAAAGTAACAACAAAAATTGTCAGAGATCTCAGAAAAGAAAAAAATTATGAATCCGCAGAAAGAAAGGGAAGAAAAATCCTTAAGTTTCCTTGTTTTTCCTACCACCCTCCAGGGAACCGGATGGCATTCACATTGGGAACATTCTGCATCAACATCTCTGGTGGAGTCTAGTCCAGTCCATACAATGAACTGCTCAGCTGTAACAGCAGATTCTGCAACTATGTAAAAAAAAAAACAGCCTGCACACAAATGTGCAGAGCAATTACTTCAATTGGAAAATAAATCATGTAATCACCATAATATAAATTGGTTTTTACCACATTTATACAGACAAAAATATAAAGTAAAATTATCAATTTACATGTGGTTCACTGTCTAAGAAATCATTATGGTCAGTAGTCAATACTTGTATCTGGAAAAAAACAATCCAGGACACCTATGAAGGGTTAATTTTACGTTAACCCCCTTGTGGGGGTTTTACAGCAACATCACACAAGATGTAGCTAGCTTGAAAGTGCATTTTCTTTTTTAGAAGAGCACATGGGGGGTGTGTTAGCCTCCTTCTCACTGTGCTAATGCATTCAATAAATCAAAAGAGCTAGTAAAATTACATATATTACAAAACATTATATCCTGACTGGTTTTACATCTCAAAAAATATATATATTTCATTCACAGGTTCATGTGAACTCACCAGGATATTCTTCAACACAATAATACAGCAAATCTTCCTGCTCAACCGATTACATCTCCTGTTTCTACAATACAAATATAATAATCAAAATCGCGTTTTATACAGATATCTTAAGATTTCAAAACCAAATGGGAATGTTTTGAAAGTTACCTCTCTCCATGCAGACCAAGGCCTTAAAAGAAAAGCACGCTAGCTCTGAGCAGGGAGGAGCCGTGACTAACTGCTGTGCAGGTGTGGTGCATTCAAAGTCTATGGGAATTCTGATATCAGTACTGAACCAAAAACTCCCCAAGACTAAAATTCTTGGGGAGCTACTACTTTACAGACATCAAGGCCAAACAACCTCCACATATCACTCCTATATGCATGAAGTGCTGTCAGCGACTTTTAAATATGTGCACTCACCAATTGGTCTTGTTTGCAGTAGCCCTGCTTTGATCCATTAAACAATACTAATGAAATGTTCTTTTTTGAACACTTGAGACAATTGTAATGTGTTAAGTTTATTTCTTTTGCATTTGGCCAGTATTAACTTTTCTGTTGCAATGTGGGTTATGCTATTTGTTAGATCATAATGTAGCACTGCACCAGCTTTAAACCACTTGCTTTTCAGCAGAACACACATTTTTGTGCACCTGTACTTTTGAAGTGAACATTTAGTGTTTTGTTCAATGTGGTTTTGTGTGTAAGATGTATTGTATCATATTTCTTTTTCAAAACTTATTAAACATTACATAACAACTGCAATAATTGCTATCTGTGTACTTTACACACAGCACAAAATTGCATAATAGGGTTTAAGTGCATTTTTGTAGTTATACTATTGAACACTTTCCAAAAGAATTACCTGAAGTACAAGCGTATATAACTTCACTTCATAATTAGATTCAAATGTAACTTAAAATGCACTCAAACTTAATATTACAGTGTCGATATTAAAATGTGTACTTTTAAAATATGCTTTCAATGTACGTTACAATGACAACTTTGAGCATACAATTTAAAATATAGCAAAAATATATGTAAAAACAAATTTAAAATAAGTACACTTTAGAAATTACACATAACTTTCACTTAAAGTATACTTTTTTAATAATATATTTCTATAAAGTGTAACATAGTGTAATTATGTTAAAGTGTGTTAAAAGTATTAGCATGAAAGCGTAATGTTAGTATACTTTTTATATATTTACAAAAAGTACAATTTGTCTAAGTACATTTTCAGTAAACTATAGGAAATATGAATATACTTGAAATACAATAAAGCACATTTTTTTTTTACCAGGGATGTACTGATGAGCTGTACAACTTATTAACATGAAATTAAAAAGGATGGTTGGAAGGACATGCCAAGAATGGAGTGTTAAAGGAATATTGGGAAATGAAGGGAATATAAAGGATGTTCACAGATTAAGGAAAGCATAATTTATTTATCCACAGAATAAAAAAAATAGGATTGATGTAAGGTAATGTTGCTACACAATCATGTACAGTAGGTGGCGGTATGCACCTTAAAGTTGCTTGCGGTCTGCCATAATAGAAAAGAAGAAGAAGGAGGAACGACTGCTATGTAACTTTTAGATAGAACATATAAAGTGACGAAAAGGACGTTTCTTTCTTTCTTTTTATTTATTTTTTTTATAGCAATTTTAACATACCTGGCGTTTATCTTTTTAACACGCACAAAGAAGAACCAATGAAGTGGAAGAAAGATTTTTTTTCAATATATTTTCATAAATCTGAAACGTTTTTCATACATTTTTGTTCGCCTTCATTTACCATAATATTCCAAAAGAAAATAAATTAGCTGCCTTCAGAATTTACATTGTTTGTATTTCTGTGGCCACAAAGGGTCCTTGGAGCAGATTCTCAAACCTTTTTGACTTCTTCACAAAATAATACCAGAATAGATTCATGACTTAAATTACTAATTGAATATTATAACTTATTAAACATCTTTAAACGATTTGTATAACAGTAATGAAGCCATAATTAACAACCAACATTTTAACAAAAAAAAAAAAAAAATTAAAACAAAAGTTTCTGCTTTTGCTGCTCAAAACAGGTTCAATCTCTAAATGAATTCAAAGTATGATAACTATGAAAGCATATTTAACAAGGAAAAATTACAAACACAATAGAAGTATTTTTTTTCCCCCTTTCTTGATGTAATGTTTGACATTCCTGTAAAGCACAAGAAAAAGACAGATCATATGACTGCTTAGACTGTATCTGCAGGTTTTAAAGCATCATTTTTAGTTTAAAATAAACTGGATATATTCTGGCTAAAGGTGCTGGAAAATACAAATGTATAAATAAAAACAGATTTCCACATAACTGTATATATGCAAGATTGTACTTTCTTTTTTATTTAAGCTTTTAATAAACTACCAAAAAAAGGCAAAAGATATACATTAAGAGATATGTAAAAATACAAATATCTTTTAACTAGAAAGAAGAGGTATGCTGACTTCTAAGAAAAAAAGCAGGTTCCATTCAGACCGGCTGTGTTGGACATTCAGTGATAAGATAGATGCAGGGAAATATACCATATGGCTAGAGACTCCTTAATATATTCAGGCAATAGCT